TTCCAAAACCAAGCGAGGGCAAAATGGCCTACGGCCACCAAATGTAGCCTACGGACATTGAGAGATGGTCTACTAGACCTTCCCTCCCCTCAGGAAAAGAAACCGAGAAAACCGAGTCTGGTTCGCAAACCGAGACAAGGCACAGAAGAGGGTTCGGAAGTCCGGAGGCAGGGCTCACGGCCGCAACTCTGAAACTTCTGAACGAGCACATTACACAACATCACCAATCGCTCAATCAGTGACGTCTGAGTCTTAAGGTCGGTCAAAAATGGGGTGTCTACAGCACCCAAGGACGCTGATTAGCCTGCTTATAGCCCAGTAATCTGTGAGTAACAATGTTGTAAAGATATATTCAATTAAAATTATTTTCTAAACGATTGACTGTACTGCTTTCTGAAGTGACATTGTTTACTGAATGAATGTTTGTCCTATTTTATGAACTGTACTCGTGACATCCATAGCAACTTACTGTTACTGTTACTGTTACTGCTACTGTACTGTTACTGTTACTGTTATTGTTACTGTTACAGAGATCTTTGTCAGTTCCAATGTTTGGAACTACTACTGTTTACTGTTTTGATGGCCATCAACTGACTGTTCGGTCTATTCAGACCTACTGTACTATTTTGCTATTGGATGTACCACGTATAATTGCTATGATTTCTGAATGACTGATATGACATGAAATATGTGGCACAGATTAAATGACTGATCTACTGATGTAAATGACTGTTTCAAATACTGAAAGGACATTCATTCTAAAACCCCTTTACACATGTGTTATTCACTGGGCTTTAGTTCACAGTTTATATATGTATGTAGGTGGCCAAGCACTGGACCGAAGCTAGAAGCGTCAAATTAAGCTCATGTTTTGTCAAGCCAACCATTGTGCCTCACTTCGGGGTTCTGAGTCTGCTCGAGTCAAGGCTGTTTTGGGGTGTTTCAGATTCGTCCTTTTTGTCTCTGCTAATGTGTGAATGTTTAAGACTTGATTGTACAGTTATGGTGAGGGGAATAGGTCCCTAACCTATATGCTACGTTGTATATGTGTTTTGATATGTATATATATGTATATGGCTTTGAAGGTGGTTGCCCATAAAAGTCATTTTTTTTTTTCATTCAGGTTTCCACAGCTCATGGGACATCTTTTTATTACTGATTGGCTTCCGCCAGCCCCTTTTGTATTATATTACTGTTATTACTGTTAAGCAGGCCTTTGGTAATCACGGATTACTGGCCGGTTACGATACTAACCCCTTAGGGGCAAGTTTGGGTCGTGACATTCATCCATTGGATAATTATTGTCAATATCCATAACCTTCACATGAAAGAATATAAAAAATTAAATAAATAAGTGCATTATATTAAGGATTAATTGCTTAAAAGTCCTATCTACATATTTGGTAGTAGCTTAGGTCCTAGCAAAAAGTTTTTGAACCAATAAGTCCTATTTACAGGTAAAAAAACGTAGCATTGACGTTATTTACTAAGAAAAGAAAACAAGTCAGTTATGGAAGTAGATGAAGATTCGAATTGCGAAGGATCTTAAGGGATTTCTTGGTTTAGTTCGCTATTATACGTAAATTGATTTCTCGATTTTAACAGATTCGTAATTGAGGCTTTTTGAGTTAAAACTGTTGGAGTTTGTTATGTGCGATTTCGAGTTATAAATTGAAGAATTGATCTATTGGTTTACAGGTATGTATTGTTTTGATTTTGTATATTATGTGTTTTTAGAATTTTCTTTAGTTTTGATTGAATTTATTTATGAGAATTTGTTGAATAATTTGAATTTTTACGAATTGAAGACGTGATTTACTGGATGATTTCTCGATTTGGTTTGGTATTTTATGAATTAAAAATGTGATTTGTGAAAACTAAGAAAGTTCTTAGTATTGTTTGAATAATTTGTTCTGGTTTTGTAGTTTCTATAAACTGAGTATTATGCTAGCTTTTATTGATGTGATCTTTTTTTTTTTTAGATTGAAAGATGAGTGAAGGTTCTATGAGTGTCCCTATTTTTTTGTTGTGCAAGTATAATGGTTGCACGCAATTAAGATTGATTGGAATGTTACATATGATTAGTTGGTTGATAAGCTATGTTTGAGATGGGATAGTTTGCAATCTAATAACATTTGTCTATTTTACTCATTACCTATACATCCTAATTGTACGTTGGACAACAATGAGGATTTAGAATTGTTGTTGGCATTAGTTGTGCATTTTGATTCAATGTGTATTGATGCTGTTGTGAGAGGAAAAAACTCAATCATTGACTATAGTAATCTCAACAAAAGATTGGATTATGGAGAAAGAGAGTCAATGTTGGAGCTTGAAGTTTGTGATATTGCATTGTCTCATGACAACAATAAGTCAGTGAACTTGTCAAACAGAGCATCTACATCATCCAATAGGAATTCGTGGTTGGAGGTTGAAGAAGAGGTTGATATGTTATCATCATTTTGTCGACACTAGGAAAGGTACTGTTGTTTGCTGGTTGGGCAATTAGTATTACACATATAGGACATAAATTTGAAGGTGGAATTGTTGAATTTCGTAATGCATTGTCAAAGTTTTCTATTGAGTGTGGATTTGAGTTCATATTTGTTACGAATGATAAAGTTCATGTTACCACACAATGTTTGTTTGAAGAGATAAAAGGTTGTATGTGGAATGTTTATGGTAGAGTGAAGAATGCTAATGGGTTCTTTTATATAAAGAATATAGCGATCCCGGGTTTACCCTTGTTGTACAGTGATCCGGACATGTGTCCGTGGATGTTGGTAGTTGATTATTATCCTGTTTACATCCTTTTACTTCGTACTTGAGTTATAGGATGTGTTGGACAGGTTTGTTACAGGTTGGTTGAGTTTAGAAACCAAAACTAGTTGCCCAGATTTTGGCCTGTCCGCTCGAGCGGGGGTGTTGGCGCTCGAGCGGGAATTGCACCCATCCAGTATTTCCTGTGCAGTGTTGGACGCTCGAGCGTGGGGTTGGCCGCTCGAGCGGGGTTGTGTGAGTGCCGCTCGAGCGGGGAGTTGGAAGCTCGAGCGAAGACCTGGTTCGTAAAAGTTCTGGTGAGTGTGTATCCGCCCGCTCGAGCGGGATTGTTGACGCTCGAGCGGGAGTCTGTGAGTGACGCTCGAGCGGGGTGTTTGACGCTCGAGCGGGTCGACTGGTTTAAGTTCCGTGTTTTGACTTTTAAATCACTTTTTCACTTTCTTTCTTCTCTCTCTTACTTTTCCAAACCACCCATTGTTGAGCCTCTCACTGTAAGAACTCTACTTCTCTCTAGGTTTTGATCTAGTAGGAGTGATTTGCTCATCTTTGGCCTTACAAAAAAGTTGTTGATCGTCGAGGGCTACATTTTAATCTGAAAATTTCGAGATTTGGAGCACGTTGGGTTTTTGTCATCTTCTCCCTTGGAGCTCCAAATTTGGAGGTAGGGATATCCTACTCCTCTCTAATGGATTTTGTCTTTAAATTTTGGTATTTTGAGATGGTTGGGGTTGGTTTGGTAATCTTGTGAGATTGGGCTTTTGTGTTTTTTTCAAAAGGTTGGGGTTTATTTATAATAAACCTAGATTATGTTTGGTAATAGAGAAATGAAATAAATGTTGAATCATTGATGAAAATGGGCCTAAGGGTTGAAAATGGTAATTATGGAAAATGACCTAATTACATTGTGATTAATTGAGAATAATTATTTGTGAGAAATGAGGAATGAGAAATGGAATTGTTGAGATTGGAAGTGCAAGGGGTTAAAGGTGTAGTTGAATTTGTTTATCACACACCGAATTGAAAAATGTTGATTGAATATCCATTTGTTGCATTTATTTTCTGTTTAGAAATAATTGCTATGGGCTTCGGTGGATGGATAGTCGTGATTTGTGTAGACAATGCAATGATTAGGCAAACGGAAACTAATTCAATGGAATGTGTCATGAAAATTGACGGTTGTTAGAAACTAACTGTAATGTATTGAGTGATTGTATATAGAACCAATGTGTTTTTGTATACGTTGCTTAGAGGAGGAGATATGAGGGATGTACTCCGCGGTTTAGGGAAGATGGGGATGTACCTCTAAACCGATAGTGTTGGGAGAAGATAGGGGATGAACTCCGTAGATACAGCTCATATGCTGTCTAGAGAGTGAAGATAGAAGCTTATATGCTACTTGTGAAGTGTGGATACAAAGCTATATGCTTATCTGTGAATGTGGGATATTGGGTTGTTAAACAATCTGTGGGAATGTTGGATAATAGCTTATAATCTTTATCTGAATGTGGATATAGTTTTATACATATCTATTGAAATGATGATAGAGCTAACTATGCTTTCTGTTGAAAAGGGAAAATGAAAAGCTAACTTGGACTCTAAGTCGTATGACATAAATATGTGATTTATTGAATGTATCATGTTTGGCCACTATCAACTTGCTAATCTTTTAGTCATGTTCATGGTTTGGTTTGGTATTTCTTACTGGGCTGTGGCTCACCCTATATGGGAATATCATTTCAGGTACAGATAGCATCCACCTCAAGACATAGCTTGGGAGTCTAGATGCGGACATACTTTTGTCGTTTATTTTGAATGTCACATGTTAATCAGCCAAGGCTTAATGTGTAAATGATTAGCACTCTTTGTTGTTAACCAAGTGTTAACTTGGAAAGCTGTAAGCCCATAGGGCATTTGCTTTTGTTGTTAACATGTAGTACTTTTGTAATGAAACTCTGATGAATAGAAGATTTGTGGTTATTTCTTATGTCAATGAATGTCTTATTTGACGGGTGTAATGTTATTAATTTGAGGGCGTTACAAAGAAGCTCAACAATGTCCACACATGTGGTGCTAAAGTAAGTACAATGAATCATTCTCATATGAGTTTTGATTTAGTTGTTGATTTGATTGTTGAACGTGTTCGTGATAATCTATTGACACATCCAATTCATGTTGTTTGGGATTTTAAGTTGGGGTATGGGTTGAGAGTTAGTTATCGTCAAGCTTGGATGGGGGTAGAGAAAGCAAATGGTGATATTTTTGGAGACTACTTAATGTCATTTGACCAGTTAAGATGGTATATTGATGTTGCAAAGAGTTGCAATCTAGGGACTTACATTGACTTTGAGTGTGACGATGATACTAAACGGTTTAAGAGATTATTTGTTCCTTTTCATGGTTCCATTAGTGGATTTGATTATTATCGACCTCTCTTGTTCCTTGATGGCTCATTTTTGAAGAGAAGATTTAAAGGAAATTTACTTACCGCTACAGGAAAAGATGGAAATCAAGGTACACAAGAAATCTATTTTCTCTATTCTGGAATTGAGAAAGTTCTCAATTTAGAAATATGATTGAATTTTTAAAATTTTATATAATATTGTTGTTGTATATGCATTTTTTATTTTTACAGTTATTCATTTTAGTGTTTGATATTTTGAATGTTAAAGTGTTACCATTTTCTAAGAATAATAAAATATTCTCATTTTTTTTGTTTTGTTTTGTACATGCAGGTTTCTTTCTTTCTTTCTTCTTCTTCTTTTTTTTTTCTTTTTTTTTTGGCAATTGTTGGCTCAGAGAATCAAGACAACTGGCGTTGGTTTTTGGAGCATTTGAGTACAATTGTTTCACTAGAACGAGATATTATATTCGTATCAGATCGTAACCTTAGATTAGTTGAAGTTTTGTCAAAGGTTTTCCCAATGGCTTTTCATGCTTATTGTTTATATCATTTGAAGATGTACTTGGGGCATCATTTGCGTGGTATGTTTCTTGGATTGAAAGAAAAGCTAATCACTTTGTTTGGGAAATGTGCATATGCTCCAACTGAAGAAGCATTTCATCAATGTTTGGTTGAGTTAAAGATTGAAGGTGGGTCAAAAGTTGAAAAGTTTTTAGATGACATACCATATGATCATTGGAGTAATGTATATTTTCAAGGGCAATGCTTTGGAGAGATGTGGTCGACTGTAGCTGAATCTTTCAATTCGTGGATACGGGAGGAATGCCATTTGCCTATCACAAAGTTGATTGATAGTGTAAGAATTAAGTTAATGAGGAAAATTACTAAGAGGATGGAGCTTGTTAATAAATGGAATGATGTGATATGCCCCCAAATGGAGTCCAAGTTGCATGATGCTTTTAATACTTCGAGGCCATGGATTGTTAGTTCATCTGGGAATGATGTTTATGAGGTGCATTCACATCCATCTGTTTCAGTTGACATTAGTAGACGAATATGTTCTTATGGTGAGTGGCAGTTGAAAGGTTTTCCATGTGTATATGGAGTTGGTGCTATACAAAAGAGTGAACATGATTTGAGTTTATTTGTTGATTAATACTTCTATGTTCAAAGTTATTAAGAGTCTATTCTTTTCCCATATATCATGTTCCTTCAATTTGGAAACCCAATTGTAATGTTGATGGTGATAGTGATGTTGTTCTTTCTCCTTTGTCTAGGAAGCAACCATGAAGGCCAAATAAGAAGAGGATTCGTTCAAATGGTGAAAAAGTAAGGCAAATTACTTGCGGTAGATGTGGGAAGGTTGGCAATCATAATAAGAAATCGTGTAAGGAGGCTTTGTGAATTTTTGTAGCTGGTTTGTGATTATAAAAATTTCATATTCATAAATTTCTTGAAGTAGCCGTTTGTACTGTTGAGAGTTGAATTAAATCTTCTATGTTTTGAATAAAGTAACATTGAATTGAAAGTGAAAATATTCTCAGTTTTGAATTTTAGTTTTGAAATTGTTTGTGATAATATTGTTTAGTTGGCTTTGTGTTTATTTTTAATGTGAATTATTTGTTTGGTTAGCTTTTGTAAATAAACTTGATTGTTGAATGTTTGTTTTGAAGATTATGTAAATACTGTATAAAAAGTGAACATATTCTTAATTTAAGTTTTTAGTTCAAAATAGCTGATTTTATAATAATAGTGTGAGGCACTTGTTATGAATTGGAACTAGTTATAAATGTGATCAATTGAATGAATGTGAATTAATATTCAAAATAAATGTGATCAATGCTCTATGTTTTGAATAAAGTAACAGTGGACTGAAAGTGAAAATATTATTTGTTTCGAATTTTAGTTTTTCAAATTGTGATAATATTGTGAGGCAGCAAATATATTGTATTGACAATATTGTTGTTTTGAAAATTGAGTGAACACTGTATAAAACTAAAAATATTCTCAATTTTAAGTTTTAATTTCAAAATAAGTGAATGTGATAATATTGTGAGGCAACAAAACACTGCATAAAAACTGAAAATATAAACAAAAACATCAACAAAGCATTGATTGTGATACAGTAAAGTCTTGTGTCTACTATTTTCACATGTAACACTATTTTCACTTTTCCCATATAGTAGTGTGGTGAACAGAATAATGGAAACTGAAAATATGGATAAAAACATCAAGAAAGCCCTAGTGCATATATCTTTGAGAGTATGACAAATATTCCATTACACATCATAGAAATTGTAATATGTTTGTGAGGTAATATGCTTGCAACTATCAACAAAAACATTAGTCATTGTATCAAAATGTGACAAAAAAGAGTTCATTGAGTTACACATCAAAAAAGATTTATTGAATGTTGCAATCTTGACTATACTTGACTTTGATTAATCTTTGTGGATCACTGAGGAACTCATGTACCATGTCTACTCTCAGTCTTGTGGATGTGCCTGGTGGTAATGTGTTTAGAATTGGTTGATGCCTTATGTATTGTCTTATGATGTAGCAAACAATAATTCCACAATCAGCCTTACAGAAATCATTTTTGACATAGTTTGGGAAAAAACAAATTTTTTTGAAAAAGATATTAAAATTTGTTAGTTACAATAAACATAACATACGTCATTGCTTCTTGTTGAGGGCTGTCTTTGACTGATTCAATCTTCACATCAGGATTCCATACTTTTTCTACTTGACAAGGTGTATCCTTCATGTATTCATTGATGATTTTTTGCAGTAAAAAACATCAATATAAAATATGTAATGATTTACATTTGATTATTGTAATGGTAATATGAAATTGTTCTTACCGGTTGATATGCAACATTTTAGTACTTGTCCTTTCCTTTTCTTGGTCTCTAAGAGTTGAAATTTTTTCAAGTCCCTAAGTGTTTGTCGATAACAAGTAGTGTCTAATTGGAATTGTGGATGGGGATATGGATGTATCTACATGTGAGGGATTCTTGCAAAGTATTTTTCAAAATCTTTTTCCTTTTTTTTGAAGTTTTCTTCTTCAACATTGGTTGTTTTTTACAAAAAAAGTGAGAATATTCACAGTAATGGTACGAAACTCAATATTCAAATCTCAATCAACAGCAAGAAAACATGATTAAGTACGATTTGTCACTCAAATTGTTTCGAAATCTAAGTATATTCCCAGCAATGATACCAAACTCAAAATTTTGGAACATTCACAACAATGATAACAAACACAAAAAATGAACTTTGAAACTGAAATCGAAAGGAAGATAAAGTATAGAATTGACACATGCACATTTATTCCTTACCCGATATAGACTTGACAGTACGAAAGACTTGCCATTGTGCTCTGCTACATCACCGGAATTCTGTGCTTGTGGTTTTGTTTCAAGAATCTCAGCATATGCATTAATTATCTGTCAAATTGGAACACAAAAGTGATGTTAATAAATTAATGAGAAGTTTTTCAGTGTTAAAATATTGCAAATTTTATACGTACACAGCTAGATATGTTGTTCCCTTTTACTAAGCTCTTGATATCATTAATAAAGACACAATTGTCATATCTTTGCACAAAACCATATACAAGCACTACAAAACAAGAAAAAATGTGTCAATAATTAATTCAGAATATTTTTAGAAAATAGAGCTATTTCTCAATTTCATTTCATATTTTGTACTACATGAAAAATTATAAGATTTATGTAAGATTATACCTCGATTCTGTTTGCTTTTGTTTCCAAAGAATTTGTAATTTATACTTATCTTCAGGAGGTAGCAATTGAGCCACAGCATACTGGTTAGAAATTGTCTCATCTTTATGTTCCTTCTCTTTCTCAACTTTAACTTTCTTGCCTCCACACTCATAATCTGATATCTCAGTAGTCTTCCTTGCTTTACTTTGATTTTTTTAATCAAGGAATTCTACAGATTTGTTTGTCTTGATTTTGTCAAATCATCAGCTTTTATTGCACAAACTTGTTGGGTTAAGTCATGGGCCTCTTTCTCCACTAACTGATTCTGCAATTGAGAATTTTGACAATCTTTTGCATTTGTATTTGTCTCACAATCTTTTGTTGCAAAAGTTTGTTGCGTTATCTCATGGACCTCTTTTTGATGGAGCTCTTTGTCCACCATTTCAGAATTTTCATGGACCTCTTTTTGCACCACTTGAGAATTTTCATTTTTTTATAGTACGACCTACATTCTTTACATCTGTTCTAAAATTCTTTCCTCCACAAACTTCTTGAGTTATCTCGTGGACTTATTTTTCAACCAATTGGTTATGCAATCGAGAATTTTCATCTTTCAATTGTTGTATTTATGCAGTGAGTAGCCTGTTATCCTCTTCAAGTTTATTTGTGTAGAATGTTAGGACCCCTGTTGTCAAATTCCATGCAAAAAACTAAGGTTGTAATCAGATTGCAATTTTCCAGTTTTGTTCTTCCCGCTCGAGCGGGGAAAGGGCCACTAGTGCGGAGCTTATACACTCACAGTATTTCGTGTGTCTGCAAAAAAATACTGAGGGATGTGTTTGTACGCTTGAGTGTGAACCCTGGTTTGGAACACGTGACATAGAGTCCCCGCTCGAGCGTCCATTCCCACGGTCGAGCAGACCGCGCGATCTTTGTTTCTATATATTCGCATGTTGGTCCAATTCTAGGGTTACTTTTCTTAGATCTTCTTTAAGAGTCTTAGGGTTTCGTTTGAGGTTTTCTTCTGAAGGTTTTTGCTAGTTTTCCTTGATATCTTTGAGTGAGTTTTCAACCTATGATCTGAGATACATACATCAAGGAGTTTGTTTCTTCATATTTGAGAGTGTTCTTTTTCGTGGAATCCGGAGATTAAAGCGTGGAGCATCAAAGGAGTTTGATACTGTGCGTGGTCATTGATTCGACATTAGAAGTTGTGGATTTAACTTCATACTGATCAATTCCGAGACGAAGGCTGTGGCAAAATAGTTACAAAAGGTTTGAAGACAAATTTGATGCGTTTGATAATTTGTTGATTATCTTTGTAATCTTTCTTTCTTCAGTAGTAGATTGATTAGTAGCGTTTCACCTGTGGTTTTTCGATCACAATTGAAGGTGCTTCAATTGTGATTTTTCCACGTAAAAATCGTTTGTGTCGATTTGTTGTTTATTTCGAAAACAACAATCTAAATCACTTTCGTAAGTGCTTGATGATTTAGATTGTGTGTTTTGAATGATTGAGAGTTGGAATATTTAAGTCTTGATCTAATCACGAATCACTTAGGATTTTCAATTGGTATCAGAGTAGGTCACTCTTTGTTTTTATCAAAACTATAGGAGTGTGATTTTGTGTGATTAGTGATAGGGATTTAATTCGTGATTATAACTCAACCCATAGACCTCCGTTACTTGATGGTACAAACTATTCTTATTGGAAAGCTCGTATGAGAGCGTTTTTAAAATCTATCGATGAGAAAGTTTGGCACTATGTGCTCTATGGTTGGAGTGAACCTACTGTCACCTTTGATGGCATTGAGATTCCCAAACCCCTTGATAAATGGGACACAACCGATTGTCAAAACTCGAGTTGGAACAGTAAGGCTCTCAATTCCCTTTTTTACTCCGTCACACCTGAAGAGTTTCATCGTATCTGCACGTCTGAGGTAGCAAAAGAGGCTTCGGACATTCTTGAAATGATTCACGAAGGTACTACTTCTGTCAAAAGTTCAAAACTTCAATGTCTCACCTCTGCCTTTAAAACCCTTTTTATGTGTGATGATGAGACGCTTGATGATTTCTATGCTAAACTTAGTGACATCGTAAATTCCTGTTTCACACTCGGTGAAAAAATCCCTGAAGCTAAAGTTGTTGGAAAAATTTTGAGGACATTACCCAAGAGGTTCCAATCAAAAGTGACAGCCATTGAGGAGGCTCAGAATGTTGATACCCTCAAGCTTGATCAGTTGGTTAGAAACCTGCAGACTTATGAAGCCCACCAGATTTCTAAGAAAAAACAAAAAGATAGTGTGGCTTTCACTAGTGCTCATGAGATTGCAAAAACTCCTGAGACTGAGTTTGATTTAGAGTCTGAGATGACGGCTATGTTTACTAAACAGTTCAAAAAAAATTTAAAGAAAAAGAAGCCTAATTT